GCGCCGCACCGCAAGATTTCGCTGTATCGCGCGACTCGGCACCGCACCGCACCGCTCGTGTGCCCACCACATAATTATATTTCTTTGTTAGGTTAGCCTAGGCGTGATCATCGATTTTTCGTCAGCCGATAGTTTAGTCGGGCAGTTGATCAGTATGGGCATGTATGGAAGTGCGCACATTCCACCGATTCGATTTGGACGATTCTTCATACAATTTACAATCGGGCACAACTATCGGCCAGCTAAAAATCGGTGGTCTGCGCCTAGTCTTAGACGACGCAGCGACATCGCTCCGGCGTCGCAACGCCGCCGCAACGCATCGTGTACTTTGGCATAAGCCTAACCATTTCTGCAATCCTAAAATTGAAACTTCTGCCCAAATTAGAAGCATCTCTTCCCAGTGGGCCAGCACCGCAGATTTCAGGCATCTCGGACGCCGCATAATCTTATTAGTGATGCGAGACCAACGCCCTGATGGCCACCATTCAAAATTTGCAGAGTTATCGCCGCGACGGAACGGTGTTAATTTAGCGAGGTTTACGTCTGGTACAGTCACGACCAAAAATACTACGAAGTAACTAAACTAACGCAAAAGTTAAAAAGCTAAACAGTCTGTTTTTTTATGAAATAAATGCGACTACCATACGATAGTCAAACTTGATGCTTGAATTTGTGGTTTCATTAATCATTTTATCATTGACTTAAAAAGTTTTAAAATCTTTAAAGGATGATAAAATGTATTTCAAATTGTACGGGAATATGCATACATTTTTACTGAAAGATATCATCAGAAAATACAATAAGTATCTTCTGATGATTAATTCGGAATAATTTTACATTTTTAACTTGACAGTACGCTACCTACTGCTCGGTAAAACAGTGTGTTCTGCTTTCGTGGATGTTTTAATTAGACATTTTATAGTTTCATTAAAAAGGTTTTATGAATCTAATAAAGAACCTGTAAACAAACTAATTAAAAACATGCTTTAAAATAGACTCCCGCACGAAAATGCACTTATAGATTTTAATATTGCAAAAAATGTAGTTACATCCCCTAGATTCCATACCTACCTCTTTACCAAAATCATCAAAATTGGTTCAGCACCTTAATCATGAAAACGCAGTAGACAGACAGACAGGCTATCTATCACGTTTTATTAGGAGCGACCTTAGATCATTATATGATCTGAGGGAGCGACAAAAGTTGCAGATAGGTTTTTTTTTTGCGTTAGTTAGTACCAAGTTTGTAAATATTGTGAGCTTAGGGCTGCATAATTAAGTGCAATTATTAAGTCACTCAAGGAGCCTACTTGCAAAATAATAGACCTTATACAAAACGTAAAAAAGCAACATTATTTACTGTGTTGCCGCAGGGCATAGTAGGTATATCGTTTTCGTCCACGAAGACGCGCCCCACCAGTTCACACGCACACTACAATAATGACGCTCGGATTGCTCGGATCAAACTCCCAGCACCCCGCGCTTTCCTCGACCAAAAATTGGTGGGACGCGTCTTCGTGGATGAAACGATCTATACTGTATACACTTGTGGTATGCTATCATCAAGTAACAAGCTCTGCTGTTAGCTATTATAGCGCCTGAATCTCAGCAGCTGCTCGATGAAGTCACTCAAGGAGCATTTGCAAGCATTCACCTGCAAAATAATAAATGAGATTTGAAACAACAGGTTGCCATGGCAACAGGTGGGCGAAGAACTACATTTTTGCATCGTGTAAAGTGGGTATAACTTAAACCAATCAATTTAAACCTGGCATTGAAGGGCTTTTTGTTTTTTTTTATTTCATACTTAATTATTATTATACGAACCCACTTTGACAAATACGAAAACTGTTAATTAGTTAGTGCCTTGCTGACGTTTTGTTTTTTGTTTCAGGTAAGCAGCAGTGAAAATGGATGGTTGGGTAACTTTTTCTTATAGACTAAACGATATTGCAACACAACAACAAGCAACACGCATTAAATTGTTTCCAGATATTAGGCAATATTATTAACACAGTAGATCTTATTTTTATTAACGTGACAGAACTAAATCACGCGTAAATTAATTATCTTATAGTATTAATCATTAACAAAACGGAACAATTTAAATAAAACTATCTAAACGATTCCCTTTCCACTGCGAATATTATTTGCGGTTAATTTAATCGCACCAAACATCGGATTAGTAATATAAATTTACCACAAAATTCCATAAACCGGGTGTTGTTTCATTAAAATGCATAACTCAAACTTAAAGCCAACTAACTCGGTAGTTCGCTAGAGTTACGGGACGGAAACTAATCAGTAGCACCTTATGTAACTATAAATAGATGCGATTTTGCAACGAAAAAGGATAGGTGATGACTGATGTGCTGGTGACTATAAAATTAAATATTACGTCACTTTCTGTTATATAATAATGTACTTGAACTAAGTTTAAGCTATTATGTATTCTGTGGTTTAAGCCTAGGCGCAGACCACCGACTTTTAGTTGGAAAATAGTTGGGCCCGTTTCTAATTTGTATGAAGAATCGGCCGATACCAAATCGGTGTAATGTGCGTACTTTCATACCTGTCCATACTGATTAACATGTTAACAGCCCGACCCAACTATCGGCCGACCAAAAGTCTGTGGTCTGCGCCTAGGCTAAGAGCTTGTTCCCATGGCAATCCAGTTATGCGGGATCCAGTAACGCAGAATCTAGTAAAACGGTGTGTGTGCGTGTGTGTGTTTGAAATTCTAATTAGAAATTCGAACGGATCGGTTTTTTGCGGGACACTGATGCCCGTTTTCACCATCAATCCCTAATTTTTATGTGACCCCTATGGTAACAAATAACAGGAATTTTGTTTACATAGGGGTCACTTAAAAATTAGGGATTGTTGGTAAAAACGGGCATGACACACGCAAACGGGTAGTTCGTGAGAAAGGTATTTTTAAACACGTTAATACTACTAAACGGGATCCTGCAAAAAAACAGAATGTCTCTGTGGGAACTAGGACCCCTGTAAGATGCCACTGTTTAGGTAGATGTACCGTCGTCAGTACAATACGCAAACACCTACTTAATAATCTTCAAATGTACTTAAATTCACTAAGTAGGTAACATACTTCTGGCACCACCATAAAATTGGAATAGATATCCATAAATCACATTAAAACCACCTGCCCGTATACGAATTTAAGCCATAAACTGCTCCAGAAGTGTCATAAATGCATACATCCCGCGTTCCGATTGCGAACGGGACGAAGTTGGCATAATGCTGAGATATTACGTTACTGGTACTTTCACGAGTGAATCGAAGAGTATTGATATTGACGTTACTGTGTATTTAGATATGCACTGGTAAAAGTAAATACTTTTTTACTAAATAAATGGTTTTTTTCTACTAAGTAAATAAATGGTTACTAAATAGTAACCACTACAAATACAATATAACAAATATCCTTGGACATGTTACACTGCGCCTCTAGTCCCAAACTAAGCAAAGCTTGTACTATGGGTACTAGACAACGGATATAAACATACTTAAATACTTTTTTTTGTAAATACATATTATACATAGTGATACCCAGACCCGTCACAGAAATTAAAATTCATCATTTCAATTTCTGCCCGGCCGGGAATCGAACCCGGGACCTCTCGGCATAGTAGCCCATTCTGAACCACTACACCAAACGGCCCGGCTGGTAAAGATTTCCGTTTTTACTCCAATGTCACTTGTTAGTGCTATCTTATTACCTATGTGATTGACCGGTAACTTGTACTTAAAAAATATAAGTACTAGACTGATGCTGCTACAACTGCACATAAGTTTCCATCAAGTTATGGATTAGGTAATAGTTAACTTACATAACATTAATCGTAACATAAAAATTATCTTTTACGTATATTCCATTAATACTCGTACAATAATAGTTAGAAAACAAATTTCGGAAATGGCAGTAAATAACCCTCCTTCTGGCGCAGTCGGATAAAAAGAGAGAGTTTTTTAACAAAGAGGAAAAAGAAAAAACAGATTGCACTAACAATGTACATTTTTAAAAAGTGCGATGCAGCGCAGACTTTATTCTCTTTTGTTCATCAGCCAAGAGAATCTCCAACGGAATATCATCGTGTGCACAAACCTCCAAACAGTACAAAGGGAAAATTGCATAACGATCGGGCAGGCGTCGGGCCGTGTCGCGGTCACATTCCCGGATTGTCCCGGGAAATAGCCGGGACTACAGGAAATTGTGCGCCCCGCACTAGCAACAAGTATTTTCGACGGTTAGTCGTAAACAGCTGTGAAGCTGTGATTAATATTTCTGAATATTTTAAAGTGAGGATGTTATTGATGATTTATGAAATTATGAGGTATTTAAGTCACCGTAAAATTGTGAATAACCTAACCTGTGGGTCTAGACAAAGTGCAAATTTTAATCGCAAACCAGTCGAAAAGTGGTCGAAAAGCCCCTTTTTTGTGTTTTGACGGATTCGATTTTCGATTCGATCAAAAAGTGCGTTTTGTCTAGGGGGGCTGGCTCACTGTTATAGTTTACAATGTCTTCTTCTTCTTCTTTTATTATGGCAACGGCTTGGTTTTGAGAACCATGATTTCGCCAATGTCACGTAAACAGATAAGACAAAGTAGGTTACAATGTCATGCGTAATATTAAAAACTGTGGGTCTAGACAAAGTGCAAATTATAATCGCAAACCAGTCGAAAAGTGGTCGAAAAGCCCCTTTTTTGTATGGAATTTTGACGGATTCGATTTTCGATTCGATCAAAAAGTGCGTTTTGTCTAAGGGGGCTGACGGCGTTTATAATTTGTCGTTGACATAAAAAGTAGTTTCCATTCATTGAAAATTCCAAATCCTAAACGACACGACACGTATCGATGGTGTATATCCAGCTTTATTAACCAATCACTCCAAAAGCTTTTTGAATCCTTTCGAATAAGTATCCGAACACACGTACAAAATTACTTTGACGTGCGCGGGTAGTAAGAAAAAACTAATCACTTCAAATAGGCTGTGGATTAAAATTTATGGTTGAATCAGTGTTACAGAAAACAATTAAATTAATCCGGTATAAAATTTAAAGATTTGTGATAACTCAAAAGGATGTGGATAAAAAATGAAATATTCACCTGAAGTAAGTGCTCAAGTTTGATTTTATTACAGAAAGTATTTTAATTGCACGGGGTATTTTACATTACATAGCTGTTCTTTATACTATAACTTATTATTTATAGTTATATTTAACAGGTTTTTGGTGTGCTACCATTCAACTGAAAAGTACTTTTATGACATAACCAAGCATACGAAATAATTCACAGTGCACGAAAACTATAATTTAAATTAATAGCCTAAACATTAACTATTTTTTATTGAAATTCTAATGAAAACATATTAAAAACACAGAATACATAAAATAAAATAAAATCAATGTAATGTAGGAATACAATTTTCTCTTTGCATATTTTGCTTGAACCGAACTAGTTGGAAATAGTCAAATGTTTTAACGTATTCGTAAATAAAATGTTCACGGACAATGCAGTGGAAACATACGTGTACAGTCACCGTCAGTAAATACTTACCAGCCAGAAAAATGACAGTACTGTCACAGTACCAAGCTTTCAAATAGTCTGAAAACTACGTTGAAAAATGTGATGCATTACCTACATTACAACTAAAGTAGATACTTATTTAACTAGAATTAATGTTATTTCAGTGTTGCTTTTTTAACGTACTGTAATAAACATGTACTTATAAATACTTATGTGTTCTACATTATGCATTCAGACTTCTAAAGCAAATGCAGATAATGATTCTCACTTTTTTGACGATTTGTAAGTACTAATTTAATTGGTGTACTCTAGAATTACTAGAATAAATACAATTTAGTTTTTTTTTTTATTTTAAATTAGAGAAGCTGTCAGATGTTCTAGCTAAAGATCTCCTTACAAGAAAATTAAATTTAGTGACAACTAAATTTGTAATTTGTCCATGTTTGAAGTTTATTTATACTACTTTGACCGCAATCTCACCTGGTGATACATAAGTGAAATGCAGTCTAGATAGTGACCAAGAGATAGTACCATCTATCTTTACTTTGGAATGGTAAACATTTCTGTCCGCGACTGTACACTCTGAACTGCATGAGAACGTGATGTGGTTGGCCACCGAAACACGTTTTTGCTTTTTGCTAAGTCTTTCTCAGATGTAGACGCAATTTTAATGTATACAGATTACAGATAGTATAGCAAGCTAAACATTGTGGTATTTTATGTAGATGGAATAAGTGTTATTTCTCAACAAAAAAAATGAGTTTGTGTTGCTTTTTATCTTTACTGAATAACATTGAAAAGGCAGCATTAAATGGTGGACCTGCTTTGGAGTTTCTTTTAGGCATACCGGATGGAAGATAGTGCTATGATTTATTTATATTATAGAACTACACGCATATTTCATCTATTTATTAATAACCATAAAAATAATTACAGAATGTCAAAACATCACTGTTTACAAATAACTGGAATGTTATAAGTATGTGTATAATCAACTAACACAAAAAAATTGCTGCTTTGTCTTTCATTATTCATGTACAATGTGGTTTCAATATGACTTGGCTCTGTTAAATTAAATTGTTCTTTTAGATAAAAAGCATCTCCTAATTAGGAGTGTTATGAATTTAATTAACAAAATTTTCGACGCACATTAAGAGACAACAAATTCACAAATGCATTGTTTTGTACCACATTACTTGAGTTACCTACAAGTAGAAGTAAGGTAGAAGAAAGACGTATGTAATTAAATTATACTTCGTAATAAGTATTTACGATATTTTAATACTCTGGCTAAAATATTTAAAGAGTAGTTTTATTTTAAAGTAAATGTGTCTATTCTAGGTTTGTTGCGTTGTCTGCCAACTAATATTCTGTTGTCCGGATTGTCGCCGGAAGCACGAAGAAACAGTTCATGGTCTAACTTACGACTGCCCGATTTGCAGAGGAAACCAATTTCTCTGCAAACCCGAAGAACTAAGCCAGCAGTTTATAAAACATTTGTACCAAGAGCACTCACCACTCCAGTGCAAGAAGTGCCACAAATATTTTACTAACATGGAAGATTTTACTAACATATCCGAATGTAAAAGTATCTCAGAGCTCGTCAATATTGATAATGAAGTAAACAACTCACAGCTAAAAAAGGTAGAAGAGAAGTTCGATTCAATTTATGATAAAACAAAAAGCGTCGATATCGACAATTTTGAAGCGATAGTTTCTGTTGATAAGGTGAATAAAACAGCTGTCATTACTCCGGTTGTAAGGAAAAAGCATATAGTTGATTATGATTCTAGTGAGAGTGAAACGGATGAGGAGAAAACTTCTGAAGCACAAAAAACTAGTTCTAAACTTGCACCAAAAACCCCAAAATTAAAAAGGCAACGGGCTGCTACTCCTCATGCAAAGAAGTTGCTTAGTCTGATGAAGCAAAAAGTGGTTGAAGAGTATGAAGAAACGGTCAATGATGATGATTATGACGGTTCCCCAGTTACTACTAAAACAACTCCATCCCGTAGTGAAAACTCTGGTGGTATGTGTGCAATTTCTAATTATTATCGTGATTTTTTTTATTCTAAAGAAACCGTTTTTGTAATGTAAATTTTGAATAAAATACCTATAGTTCCAGACAATCAGAAAGAGATGACAACACCCACTTCTCACATTCCACATAATTTGTTAAAACTCGCACAAATAGTCACTACGAGCACTCCTACTCATCCTGTGGTGGGAGGTTGGTCTATTTTTCCAGAACAGAGTGCCGATTCTCCTCTCTCTGAAATTGAGAATACTGAGAGTCCCGCGCAAAGTATTGGTAACGAGGTACGAAAATATTGTAGTATATTTGTTCTTTTTTTTGTTTTAATTGGTTTTTTATTTTATATCATGATTTATTTTTATAATTTTCAGCCTTCCAAATCCGAGAATATAGCTCCAAAACTAAAAAGTATCATAGTGTCTGGCAGTCGTATAAGATTAGGTAGCCAAGATAGCTCAGAAAAGCACGTCACATTCCAAGAATCGGTCAATATTACCGACGTTTCGTCAGTTAAAATAAAGAAAGTCAAATTCGCTGAGGATACCGTTTTTGAACAGGAGAACAAAGCAAAAAGAGGTTGTTAAATTGGAAGTTATTTCATAGGGCAAATCTAGACCACTGGCATTCTCATCCAGAGAAAAGTTTTTTTTATTTTCTCAAGATATTTTATTAAATCTTTTATCGGCCGTTTGGTGTAGTGGTTCGGAACGGACTACTATGCCGAAAGGTCCCGGGTTTGATTCCCGGCCGGGCAGAAATTCAAATGATGAATTTTAATTTCTGTGATGGGTCTGGGTGTTACTATGTATAATAAATATGACGTATGTATTAACAAAAAAAAAGTATTTAAGTATGTATAAATCCGTTGCCTAGTACCCATAGTACATGCTTTGCTTAGTTTGGGACTAGAAGCGTAGTGTAAAAATATTGATTTTTTTATCTAAAGTTTATCGCGTTTTCTAAAATAACGATTAATTAATCATAATTCATTCTAAGTAACATTTAATTTTTAAAATATTTACGTACATTTTCAGTATACAGAAAACCAAAACGCATGCTCACCCCAGGCCCTCAGAGGCCTCGATTTTGTCTTAATCCCCGGTTCCAAGCGCTCGTCAATCGATTCGAGAATCAAGGCCAAACGGTCGCACGGACGCCGGTTCATAATAAAGAAAAAACGCCTGAAAGCACACCGGCCATTGGCGAGCCAACGCACATGCCAGCCCGAGCAATAATCTTCAATGAAGAAAGCCTTGTCGTGGACACAGGGAACTACTCAAAAGAATCAAATGAATTATTCAAGACGTGCAGCGATTCTCCGACCAGCTCGGCAGGAGTCAATACAGCCCTGTCTGCACTTACGACCAATATAGCTGGTTCGCTGCAAAACTGCTTGGCATCTGTTCTTAAATCGTCTGGGGAAGACACCGAGATACAGTTTCAATTTGTAATTACAAAAAAGACGATGAGCGTGAAGCGAATCGTTGAAGAAGGTGCTAGTTTGGAAGAGAAATGCAATGAAATCGAAAAACATTATGAGGCAAATAAAGAAAACATTTGGTCGAGTGTAGCGAAGGCCGTCAAAAATGTGTTTTGGGGTGACCAAGATACTGGTAGATATTTTATTTTTTTCTTACTTTAATATTATTTTATTATTATCATGTATTTACCAACAACTGTTACGTTGTTTTACTGCTTCATTTTCATTAACTAAAGTTAAAAATAATTAGACCGAGATTTCCATACCATTATCAGTAAAGAAACTTAATTTTAAAATGGTTCGTTATCGGTGAACGATGCAAATAAATCTTGATCTCATTAATTCTTCTAACAGTGACAGGTAATTACCTCGAAATTCATGGCAGAATTAATGTAATTATGTGTCTAGTAAAATTACTGTTTATTAGTTTTTTTTTTGTTGCCTGCATTATAAAGCATCAAAAATAGGCAACAGTTTGAGATAACTCTTTTGTCTGAACAAAAACGTCATGTACTACAATATCGATTTAGGTTAGTACTGTTACTGGATCTGATCCAAATCTGTTTGATAGGCATTTAAATTCATATAATCTGGAAAAGGGCCAAGAGATAAGGGAGCAAATAAAATCCAAATTGTAAATTCAGAATAAAATTCCTTTCCGTGTCGGGCGCAGTTTGATTGCGTTTTTTTATTCATGAGAACACTTGTTTCATTGATTTCATTCTTATAAGGAACCGAGCCATGGCGTATGAGTTTTAATTTTATCCTCCTGTTGCGCTTTTGATATTTCATTTTTCCTTTTACACTTTTTTATTGAACTTGTTTAATTTTATTTTATTTTGTTTTGTTTTGAAAACTGATAAAAATCAAATTTTAATGCAGGTCTAGCGCTTAATCAAGTAAGAGGTATGGGCCGCATGGGAGCGGCACGAGAGGGGTGAAATTATTATGAAGTAACTGAGCATACAAATCTGAAGCACATCTGAAGTCTCGCTGACGTTTGACGTCACGAAATCTGCCCATGCCGCTCCCATGCTTCAGGCACTGAATCAGTTATGAGCTAGACCTGTAACCAGTCATCGTCCGTATGAATCCTATAAAATTAAACAATTGACAATCAATTCCAGCTACCACACCGTTCCGCTCAAGCAACAACGATTCGGACTCATCTTCAGCATCGAAGCGCAAATGTAACGAGATGACAGATCCAGAGCTAAGTCCATTGAACCACAAGCGGCATAGATATGACGGCAGGATCAGGGGACGTCCACCACTACGCAGGAGTAAGACCTGGGGAGTCTCGAATCTGAGGAGTTCGCAGTCAGCTGAACAGCAGTCCTTGTTGAAAGAGGTGTCTGTTGGACAAGATGACGCTATGAATCAAAGCTTCTGAAAAAGGCTGTGTTATTTTTAATAATTTATAGTAATTAATCGCAATACACACTAGATCTTGGTTCTTGGGTCCAGGATGAGTTTGATTGTGTATCTTTTTATGGATTTAAAAATTTAAATTGTCATCGTGTATAATTATGTTCCAAATACGCTAATTTGGCAGAATAAAGACTTGATGTTTTGTGTCAAATTTATTATGAGTTTAAAGACGTATGTGATAAAAAATGATAAATGAATTTAATTATTTTTTGAAAATGAAATAAATAAGTACTTAACTAGTCTAATAAATCATTTGTAATAATATTTGTATTTAATGAATAATTGCATACAGAATCGACTTTAGTGACTTTTTAGTTAGAGTTTTACAATAGATAAATCCTGTAAACAACTACATTCAGTCCAACGCTCGGTGATAATTACTTTTGCATACGATTCCATCACTCGTTTTATTTTAAATTACAATTGACAGTTTTAACGTTATTTTCAAGGCAATGTCAAGGGTTATTCATGTGATTTTATTTTGTTTAAATTTTTAAATGATTGTGTTTGTTAATCTTATTCATTACTTCATTATAATACACAAGTCTTAAAACACGTCTTTTAACGCACAGGTAGGTAACCACTTAACCACATTACTCACTTTTTAAATCTTTTTATAAAACGAACATAATTTCATAATCTCATGTTTTTATTCAATTTATTTTCTAAGTCGATTACACATACAAGTAAAACAGCGAAGTTTTTTGATGTCACATAACATAGGGATTTCAATTTTGTTGTCCTAAGTTTGTTAGGTCATGAAAACTTGTCCTCCAACCCGGTCATTAGCCAAACTCAATCTGTCCGCTCGCAAATACATCTCTTGTTGATGTGCGCTAATTTCCATCCGCCATGTCACCCGCACTTGCTCATGTCTCGTCGAAAATTTAGAACCACAATGAATTTTGCCATTAGTCCAGCCATCATATTGTAGTACTATAAGTGTACAAGAAGTAACATAACGTACAGTAGTTGCTATCTTTTAAAAGTGAACTTCGGGGTTTTTAACGATTAATTTGGTGAAGTGATTTGTGTAACACAAAATTTTTAGAATTAGAAAGACAACCGTTCTATCAAGATTTTTATCCTCAGATTGATATTTGTTTCCAATAGACATAAAGGTATTGCCTTTATCTCCTAGATAGATTTTCAATTCTAGGTGTTATTTGATAAACTACGCTACGAGTACAACCAAATTCCCAGTGGGGGCAGATTTTTCTATTCGGTTTGGTTGGTGGTAGGGCTTGTTCTAATTCCGCCTGGCTAGCTACACAACTAGCTACCACCATCTTATCTAAGTCTGTCGCCATAACAACAATGTTAACAGCATTGTTGTGTTCCGGCAGTCAGAAGTAAGATAGCCAGTTCCTCTGTGGTTGAAGATTCCGGGTGAAGCTCGCTTCCACCTTCGGCTTGATCAGGTGAGATACAAGTCAAGAGCTTCCTCGTTGTGGATAAAAAAATACAATTCTTGTTGATGATCGCTAATTTCCGGCCGCCATGTCACACACACTTGCTCATAATATCTCGTCGAAAATCGTCGTCATTAGTCCAGCCGTGGAGCAAAATACCAGAAGTAACATCGATAAGTGAAGTAGTATACTTTAAAAGAGAACTTCAAGCTTAAATAGTATGACTAGCGAATAGGTATAATATTAGGCAGGTAGGTATTTTCTTGTGCATAACGTTTAATAGTTTTATCTTAACAGCGATTTTGTGTTAAATAGGTAGGTAAATTGTTAGTGCAGTGAAAAGAAATTGACTCCAATAAAATTAGAGATAATTTTATTGCCGTGACATTTAGATGTTCCTCTTGCGCGAAAAAACGTATGATACCTACATGGTTTAAAAAGAAAGTTTAAAATCTTCGCTAATAGAAATAATGAAAAGAGGTTTTACCTTAGGTACGATAAAAAAGAACGAGGTCAATGTGTCTGCGTTGTTTTATGGACTTTCTAACAGTTAAACAAACAAGACGTTAAAATGTGCACTTACCCTGGTTAATTAGTGGATTGGCTGTAAAAATAATTGTTGAGAGGTAACTTACTTTGTAGCTGGGTTTTCATTTGTCTGAAGATAATGAAGATTGCTAGAATTGATAATTAGTGTAGTTTGTTATTTTATTTTTAATTCTTTGATCGTTTTGTTCCTGATTTTCCAAAATTAGTAGGGAATTTAGTGCAATGATTTGTATGGAGACCCCTCCACTTTGGTATAGAAGGCTCATTTTTGCAACAGTGGTTCTTTGGGTGCTCCTGAGTGGATTTCCGTCGGTAGACATCGGGAGCCCCCCCTGTGGTAGCAGGGGGAGAGGGGGCAAGTTTCCTTCCGCCGCGCTTCACTTTAAGGCCCATTTATCTTCAAAACTATGGGTATTAGGGCAAGTGTGGTATCATTTTCGGATAATTAAAGGATGGCGAATTCATTTCTAGAACAAACTTTTTGCCTTTTCATACAAAAAAATTTAAATATTGAGTAAAATTCACAAAAATCAAAAAGTATTTTTTTAAATAAACGTCGTTTACTTTTAAACCACTGGAGATAATCTAATAAAAAAAATATGACCTGAAAGCTACATTTATCTGGATTATAAAAATATAGCATTGTATGGTATTTTTTTTGCAATAAGTAGGTGAAAAAAATTTTTTCTTCAGGACACAGCGGGCGAATTTTATTGCGCATCGGAAAAAAGGCCATAATATGGCCATATCCAAGAAGCACAGTGCTGAATGGGAAAGCTCCAACGATATAAGATAAGCCTCTCTAAATCATTCCTAAAGGGTCATGGAGAAAACTCATTAAGCATTAAGGTATCTAAGCCCAAGCAATTACTGGTACGCAAACTGGGCATTATGGAACGAACCACATGTCCCACAAAATGGGCCTAACAACAGAAGACAGCTCTCGAGCATGTGAAATACATGTGGGGTCCATGAATCAATACTGTAAGGATGGGTCTGCTTGGGTCAGCATATCCGGCATCAGAAGACTTAGAAGGCTTTCACTCAGACGCTTAATTCACCTAATGGATAGGATTTTTTTTTGATGATAGGGAATAAAAAATGGAGCATAAAGATCCTAATGGGTCGCTGTGGACTACGCTTAGACCTAGCTTAGCTTAGGCCACAGCCGTAACCTTTGTACTTAAAATATCTCCCGTACTATGATTGTGAAACCTCATTTTCCTCACACTTACCNTGTATAATAGTGCATAGAGCTTATTTTAGGTGAAAAATAATAAAAAAATGTTTTCTCTTAAAAGAACATTCGGTATTACAGACTTTAAAAAGGAAAAGTAAATAAATTGTATTTTATACTTTAAAGTAAAACATAATTGTAACCTTCTTAATAAATTAATACTACATAAAGATACAATAATGATATTAATAAATGTAACTGAAAAGGTACAACGGTTTTTATATTATTTAATGTTTCACAATTAGTACTTTTAAAAGTACTATCGGTTTTATAACATACACTAATGATAGGTTAGAATGTATAAGAAGTGAAGTGAAAATTCATGTTAATTATAATATTTACTAAACTAAAAATCAGAACGTTCTCATGGTCAATTTTCTCAATCATATCATAATTTTAAAAGTCCAATACTCAATTCCATCCTAATAGTAAAAATATACAAAAATAAAACGTTCACCATCAAGACCGAATGTTCCTTGCAAAGAACTATTATTTTCAAACGAAAAAAAATCTTACAAAACTACTTCAAATTGGGAAAAATAATTTTTTTGCTTGTTTAGCAGTATTTTAACTTAAATTATACTGATCAGTTTTGCAATTAAACTAAGTTAACGCGAAGAAAAAAAAATAATCGGACATCACGTCTTCTCGGACGAACCACCTTGTCAAAGGAAAATGATAATTTGACAGTGACGTTATATTTTTTTTTTATTTTTAAGTTTGGATACCTGATTTTGAATACTTTAAGCCATAGACTCACTCTTTTTTTTCGATAGGCGCGAATTTTTGAACTTAAATTTATCGCTCAAGTTTTAGTTCCTCTGAAGGCACATCCGGCGATACTTCGAAATCACCTCCGAAAATGTCTCGGCGTTACTGACTACAAAGTTTTAGTTCCTTCTGATGCACATCCGGGCTTACGAGGTTAAAATCAGTTTCATATGTGGTCACGAAAGTGTCTTCTTCAAGAATGGACCCTACATCATCGACATAAAGATCAGTTTACCTTGAAGTCATACGGGTGATCGCGGAAAGTTTCACATAGCACCACTTCTGGCGCCATCCAGTAAGGCGTGCCCATAACCGTATCGTGCAATAAACTCTGCTTCTTTGATAATAAACTCTACGCCCTCACATTAGAGCGCAGATTAGATCTTTAAGATCAGTTTCCTATGTGGTCACGGAAGTGTCTTCTTCAAGAATGGACCCTACATTAGAGATGAAACGGATAGTTGTTTTAGCCGCATACCGGATACCGGATATCCGGTCAGCTGCTAGGCCGGATAGCCGGATATCCGGCGACCGGATAGTTGGCTCATTGTCTCGTTGCATGTCGTGAGGAGTATAGCGCCGCACAGGTGCTTCGAACGCGATCAGTGGGTCTATTAGTAGACTAGACTAGTCACACTTTTCGAAAATCTAATCAGTCCGAATAGAATGTCAGATTTTGTCACTTGTCTAGGGGGCAGATCGATTCGGGCGATTTCGGTTGCCATCGTGAGTGTGTGATTGAATAGCGAAAATTAAATTAGGTTACTTGCTGCGTAATCTGACTGAAATGCATCATGCATGAACATCAAACCATCAGTGAAAAAAAGATCGCTTATTTTATTTGGCAATATTTCGACTTAACAGATATTTACTATTTATGTATTTTTAAGTTTTTTTAAAGGCCTTAATATGGCTTTTTTGTAACTTTTTGGACTTATTAAAAGCCGTCATTATTATAAGCCATTTTAATGATATTTACCTCTAAGATTAACGTATTTCATTTTATTAATAGGAAATTGTCGTAGCTTTTTAATATCTGGTATCCGGCCGGATAGTGTGTTACTATCCGGTATCCGGCCGGATTGTAAATTTAGGCCGGATATCCGGCCTACCGGATAGTTACCGGATATCTGTTTCATTTCTACCCTACATCATCGACATAAAGATCAGTTTACCTTGAAGTCATAAGGGTAGTCTCGGAAGGTTTCACACAGCACCACTTCTGGCGCCATCTAGTAAGGCGTGCCGATGAACGTATCGTGCTTCTGTAGCGTCGACTTTTGAACGTCTTATTGTAAACTCTACACGCTTGCCTTAGAGCGTAGTTTCCCATGAGAAAGTATTTACGAAACTGGCTCCAATGTCACTTAACAACAGACCCTACATCATCGCTTTAAAGAGCAATTTGCCCTGAAGTCTCGCGCGAAAGTGGCTCCAGTATAAGACCCTACGTTATAGATGTGGTTGTTCCTTCAACAATGAACTCTACGCCCAGGTACTAGCTCCAATGTCACTTAAAAACAGACCCTACGTCATCGCTTTAAAGAGCAATTTATATTTAAGTCTCGGGCGAAAGTGGCTCCAGTATAAGACCCTACGTTATAGATGTGGTTGTTCCTTCAACAATGAACTCTACGCCCAGGTAATAATGGTCAGTTTACCTTGAAGTCATACGGGTGATCACGAAAGGTCTCACACAACACCACTTCTGGCGCCATCCAGTAAGGCGTGCCGATGAACGTATCGTGCTTCTGTAGCGTCGACTTGTTCTTAGCTGACACGCCGAAGTCCGCTGCAAAAGAAAATGGGTTTGGATAAGAAACAGTAACTTTAAAATTGGTCTACAACTGAAGATGTAGAGTACGTTATGACCTCATACTGAGCAGAGACCAATTTGGAAATGTATTTTGCTTTTTAAGTTGATTGAACTTATTGTTTTTATTTTTTGATAAAGCCCGGTCTGTGAGCACACTGACTGCAATATGATTACGCGCGAGCGATAAGGATGGGTAGCTTGGGGTCATTGGACAAAATTCTACGTGCTCGCAGACCAGACTATACCAAATAAATGTTTTTTCTTTCTTTCTTAAGAGGTGACTAATGGGTAAATATGGTAAATTAGAGACAGTCGTGTATCTGAAGTAGAGACCTTGTGCAAATGATATCATCTTCAGGTCAAATGACCTGAGGATTGGCTGATTCGAGAATCCGAGGAACGCGGGTTTTTTAAACCGCAGCTGGACTATTTTGGTGAATTTACCACGAGGGTTTAACAGACTGTCTTTACATGAAAAAGAAGAGAGACACGCTACCCAGCTTGACGCCGCCGGTCCTAGTAGCTAACACGTCGCCCGCCTTAGCGTTCTTAAGGTGTGCAAGAGAGAGAGGGGAGAGAGAGGGGAGAGAGAGAGTAGAGAGCGGAGAGAGAAAGAGCGACACGCACTCAGCTGACTCCTCCCGCCATAGTGGCCAACACGTCGCTCGCCTTAGCGTTCTTAAGGTGTGCTAGAGAGAGAGAGAGACACTATGCTAGAGAGAGAGAGAGAGACACGTACCCAGCTTGACGCCGCCCGTCATAGTAGCTAACACGTCGCTCGCCTTAGCGTTCTTAAGGTGTGCTAGAGAGAGAGAGACACTGTGCTAGAGAGAGGGACACGTACCCAGCTTGACGCCGCTTATCATAGTAGCTAACACGTCGCCCGCCTTAGCGTTCTTAAGGTGTGCTAGAGAGAGAGAGAGCGACACGCACCCAGCTTGCTGCTGCCGGTCATAGTTGCTAACAGCTAACACGTCGCCCGCTCTGGCGTTTTTAAGGTGTGCTAGAGAGAGACACGTACCCAGCTTGACGCCGCCCGTCATAGTAGCTATCACGTCGCCCGCCTTAGCGTTCTTAAGGTGTGCAAGAGAGAGAGGGGAGAGAGAGGGGAGAGAGAGAGTAGAGAGCGGAGAGAGAAAGAGCGACACGCACTCAGCTGACTCCTCCCGCCATAGTGGCCAACACGTCGCTCGCCTTAGCGTTCTTAAGGTGTGCTAGAGAGAGAGAGAGACACTATGCTAGAGAGAGAGAGAGAGACACGTACCCAGCTTGACGCCGCCCGTCATAGTAGCTAACACGNGGGAGAGAGGGGGGAGAGAGAGGGGAGAGAGAGGGGAGAGAGAGGAGAGAGCGGAGAGAGAAAGAGCAACACGCACTCAGCTGACTCCTCCGCCATAGTGGCCAACACGTCGCGTCGTCGCCCGCTTTAGCGTTCTTAAGGTGTGCTAGAGAGAGTAAAACACTGTGTTGGAGAGAGAGACACACGTACCCAGTTTGACGCCGCCCGTCATAGTAGCCAACACGTTGCCCGCCTTCAGGTCGCGGTGTATGACGCGGCGCGAGTGCAGGAACTGAAGCCCGCGACACATCTCGCGGCACACGTACGCTATCTGCTGCTCGCTGAGGCCCTTCTCGAGTGAGGGAGAGGGAGAGAGAGAGAAGGGAGAGAGAGGGAGAGAGAGAGAGAGGGAGAGAGAGAGAGAGGGAGAAAGAGAGAGAGGGAGAAAGAGAGAGAGGGAGAGAGAGAGAGGGGGAGAGAGAGAGGGAGAGAGAGAGAGAGAGAGAGAGAGAGGGAGAGAGATACGAGAGCAAGAGGGAGCGATATGAGAGCGAGAGGGAGAAAGCGACACGTACCCAGTTAAACACCGCGATACATACTATGTGTGAGAGGGAGAGAGAGTGGAGGGAGAAAGGAGAGAGTGAGATGAGAGGGAGGAGAGAGGGAGAGAGGAGCGAGATCTGCTGCTCGATGAGGCCCTTCTCGAGTCCAGAGACCGAGAGACGTACCTAGCTTGACTCCACCCGTCATGGTGGCTAAAACCTTGCCTGCCTTAAGGTTCTTAAGCTATGCTAGAGAGAAAAAGAGAGGAGCGACACGCACAAAGCTTGACGCCGCCCGTCATAGTAGCCAACACGTTGCCCGCCTTCAGGTCGCGGTGTATGACGCGGCGCGAGTGCAGGAACTGAAGCCCGCGACACATCCCGCGGCACACGTACGCTATCGGCTGCTCGCTGAGGCCCTTCTCGAGTGAGAGAGGGAGAGAGAGAGGGAGAAAGAGACAAAAGAGAGAAAGGGGGGAAAGAAAGAAAGAGCGAACCGCACCCAGCTTGACTCCACCCGTCATAGTAGCTAACACGTCGCCCGCCTTAGCGTTCTTAAGATGTGCTAGAGAGAGAGAGAGAGATAGCGAGAGAGAGAGAGAGAGAGGAGAGAGAGAGAGAGAGAGGAGAGAGCGATAGAGATTAGAGAGAGGGAGAAAGAGCGACACGCACCCAGCTTGACGACGCCTGTCAGGGTAGGTAACGTCGCCCGCATTAGCGTTCTTAAGCTGTGCTAGAGAGAGAGGGGGGAGAGAGAGGGGAGAGAGCGGAGAGAGAGGGGAGAGAGAGGAGAGAGCGGAGAGAGAAAGAGCAACACGCACTCAGCTGACTCCTCCGCCATAGTGGCCAATACGTCGCGTCGTCGCCCGCTTAAGCGTTCTTAAGGTGTGCTAGAGAGAGATAGAGACACTGTGCTAGAGAGAGAGACACGTACCCAGCTTGACGCCGCCCGTCATGGTAGCTATCACGTCGCCCGCCTTAGCGTTCTTAAGGTNAAAAGTTTGTTCTAGAAATGAATTCGCCATCCTTTAATTATCCGAAAATGATACCACACTTGCCCTAATACCCATAGTTTTGAAGATATGGGCCTTAAAGTGAAGCGCGGCGGAAGGAAACTTGCCCCCCCCTCCCCCTGCTACCACAGGGGGGGCTCCCGATGTCTACCGACGGAAATCCACTCAGGAGCACCCAAAGAAACACTGTTGCAAAAATGAGCCTTCTATACCAAAGTGGAGGGGTTCTTGCACTAAATTCCCTACTAAATAAATAAATATGATAAACTAATATTAAAGAATGTAAAAATTCAAAAGATCTAAATATCTTGCAATCCAATACAAATGTGCTTCAATCGTGCGGATTTTAGTCGTAAATATTTTCAAATGTCACGTAAAAAGGGCCTTTAAGTCTAGAGCTGAAGACGTAAAAGTTGCATGTGTCTTTTCCCATAACGGCCGCTATAGCAATGAAGTACTGTCATTTCGTGCCCAGCTTCTATTACAGAGCATCTATCCTTTTTAATACGGCCCTGCTTTTTACCCCTACTACCCTTTGAATTTGAAATAATACTGTCACGTGATATAGCGAACGTGCTACGAATACCAAAAGGCAAGGCTCTGCGCTAGTAGTTTTTCATATTTATTATTATAACCTAATACCTAATAATAACGTAGTAGGTCTAAGGTTGTAGGTAATACCTATAATGAAATTGCTTTTGGAAGGTAAGTAAAATTACGTAACTAAAGTTTTTTCAGACGCAAATATTTTGCAAGCAACATTTTTATTTGTCTGCCTCTTTGTTGATCTAGCGACTTACACAATAATAAAACGCTGTCGTATAATTGGGTGTAGTCTGTGCCTAAGGTCTGTGCCAATAGATGTTGGCAATTTGGTAGATGAAAAATGATACAATCTACAGAAACATAGATTGAATTGTCTCATTGATCTCGACTCAACATAATTTCATTTGGCAATTCTTATAATAAGTTTCTGTGAATTAATAGGGACATGGTGCAAATCTAATGACAGATGAAAAACAATCATCAGAAAGTGATCTAGACCATGCACAGTCTGCATTTGTTAAGGAGACCTAGTTCGAGCTATTTCACGTTAATATATTACCTATATTGTTAATAGCGTATTCCTAAACTTCACAAAATCGCTTAAAAGCACGAAAAATTTTCCTCGCTGCGATAAATTCAAAGTGTAGGCTACTTATAAATTTCAAATATCACATTTCCAGAACTACAGCATTATGGAGGAAAGGCATGTAGGCACTACGGAATTGCCAACATGCCTTTGCATGACATTAAAGCCTCAATTCATAGTAAATTGCAAAGAACCATGCATAGTCATCGAGCATGCATGTTTTCCAGTGCTTGCAATAACGAGCTGTCAACTGCATAGCGCATCGGACGTGTCAACCGAGAACCGCCTGCCCATTCGACCGGCGAAACCGCGATGAAAAAAAAACAGTTTTTTTTTTTTCGAAAGCGTTGCCTTTGCTGGGGGATGGCGGTTTTTACAGTACCTCTAGTACGAAAAACTTTCAAGTTCGTTTCGTTGCGTATTCAAAGTGTCATCGAAAAATTTTGTATGAAAAATTAAACAGCGCCCCCTAGGGCGGCTATAATATAGGGGGCGCTGTTAAATTTTTCATACAAAATTTTTCGATGACACTTTGAATACGCAACGAAACAAACTCGAAAGTTTTTCGTACTAGAGGTACAGATCTTATCTTGCTTATATGGAGCTTGCAACTGTGCAGTTTTTCTGGTAATGAAAATGTGTCAGTACTCGTATTCACTAGTTCAGATAAATAACGTAATTATTTTCTAATTTTTAGTGCAGGTTTTTTAATTTTTTTTCGCTTTTAATCATCTTCCTAATGGACTAGTAGAGAAAAATATATCTAAAACTTGTAGGTCCGTACTACGATAGAAAGCTTAAGTGTGATTTAATCTTAGTCACAGATTATTTGCTGTAATTCGTTTAAATATTGAAGTTTAACTTATAAAAACCTCAATTTAAGATTGAAATTAAATCTAGTTTTCAGCTTCGTACTTCCTGTATACGGTCAATCAAAATAGTCAGCTCACGTTAAGAAATAGAATGTGAAAAAATAGTTACTCAATTTACGGTAAATATTTATATCTCACTAGCGGCCACCTGCGACTTCGTACGCGTGGGTCCCGTTTTACCCCTTTAGGGGTGGAGTTTCGTAAAATCCTTTCTTAGCGGATGCCTACGTCATAACATCTACCTGCATGCCTTTCAGCCCGGTCCGTCATGTGGCTTGGGCTGTGCGTTGATAGATCACTATGTCAGTCAGTCAGTCACCTTTGAGTTATATGTATACAATTTAGATTATAATAAAACCTTTGTTTGGGCTATGTAGTTTTGAGTTAAGCCACGGAACACACGTTTAATTGCTTGACACACTAGCGACTAATTGACTAAAATTTTGGCTGGCTAGTTAGTAACGCTCGCAGCTGGCTTAGCGGGGATTAAAACTCGAGCTAGCGTTGGGAAAATGTTATAAAAATATTAATTGCTAAAGGAGATAATACCCACACAATGTGTTTAGAATTTCAATTTCAGTAATTATTTTTTTATAAACTTTTTAACTTGCTTAGATTTATGTATACTTTCTTGTGATATAATTAATGAGTAAGCTTTATATCAAAGTAAGCTGCCGGCAAGTCAATGGTTGTGGATTCAAGTCTTACCTATCTAAGGCAGTTATTATGTAACATCATGTCAGTGATCACTAATATTAGGTTATTTAGTTTCTACGACCTTTTCTCATCTAGAGGTCAAATCACTTGGGCTGAGGAGTTGCACCACCTAACTTTGACCGTAACTTTAACGACAACCGGTGCGTTTTGTAAAAAGTTTGACAGATTTTAGACGTTTGTCAAAGTTCTCTCCTCGCTGCCGCGCAGTTCGGGTACTGTTTTGAATTATAAATATGCAAAATCTTAATTATAAATCCCTTTAGTAGGTAGAGTACCCATGTGATTATTCCGTGGAACGAAACACGCAGAACGAGTACCGCGACGGAATTAATGGAGTGATATGCCATTGTCTTTGCCGCTCCACGCACCTATCAGTTATAAACGTGCGCCTTGAGTGTTTACCTTCGCAATCGATGGCTTCTAATGTACTGGATTTTATAGATGGGCCCGTTTATACCTGCGCTCAGAAAAACCGTGGTTTTAGGGCACGAGAAGATTTTTTAGGTGTTTTATAACTTTATCGCGCATATGCCTCTTAAGTATTAAATTCAATACATAGAACCTACATAAAATATACTCAATGGTAGGCACAGAAGACAGTTTTTTTTTCTTTATTTATTTAGGGACTTTTACATAGAGAAGACAGTAAATTACTATAAAGTAGCTAGTTCGTTATCACTCATTTATTCGACTAAAATTAATACTAAACTCGATGTTCGATCCCAACTCTGAGTTAACTTCGAATAATTTGTATCGAATTGTCAAGATGTCCAAACACGATTCAGTACAAAATGGAATTATTAAGGTGCATTGTGTCGATTCCAAATATTCCAATGTTTTCAAAAGCCAGTAAACCCTTACGCCCGGCTTATTTCGAGCAGCTTTCATTCAATTATTAATTTTATTTTTAGACTAAGAGCTGGTGAACGCCAGACCTGCGTCATTTTATAAAAGCTGAAAGTTTGTCAGCGTATGCTCCCAATATAGGATAGAATGTTGGTGGATCATGAAGTTTGGGTCATCGTGGCTTTGACGGCTATCATAAAAAACTGTCTGGCAAGGAGTTGGAACTGTTAAAACTGTCTGGCTGATGTGGAAACAACTTTTAATCATTGCCCAAATATTATACATAAAAATCAGATTTAATGGTATTACATAAGTAGAATTACAGTCTATTAAATATACAGAAAAAGCCAACGTAAAAGGCTAACGTTATACCATAAAAGCTGATTTTTATATAATATTAGGGCAATAATTAGAAGTAGTATTCCTCATCAGCCAGACAGTTTTGACAGTTTCAACTCCTTGCCAGACAGTTGTTTTAGGATAGCCAAAGCCACGATGACCCAAACTTCATGATTCACCATGCAGGGAGCATACGCTGACAAACTTTCAGCTTTTATAAAATAACGTAGGTCTGGCGTTCACTAGCTCTTAGTCTATTTGATAAACATCTTGGAGCGCCTCTCAATTCGAAATCATGGACAGACAATGACTTTTGAATACTTCTATTAATATTAAGTGTTTCTTGGAAATTTGTAGTAAGAATGATTGCCAAGAACATTATCGGCATTTGCGAATTGAGAATCTGAAGTGCAGAGTGAAATGATTTGTTCCTTTGTTTTGCTTTCGGAAAAAGCGTTTTAATAATAATGAGAAGGTATTGATACCTTTTTTAGGGTTCCGTACCTCAAAAGGAAAAAACGGAACCCTTATAGGATCACTTTGTTGTCCGTCCGTCCTTCTGTCAAGACCCTTTATTTTAAGAACGCGTGAACGTATCAAGCTGAAAATCACATGAAATACTCAGGTCTATTGTCCCTTTAAGCTGTGAAAATATCAAACTTCTAAGCCAAGCCAATCAAAAGATACAGCCGATTATGTCGATATTTTCAACAAATTTTCGACGCAAAGGAATCAAAACCTACAGGATACTTCCCGTAAACTCAGAATCTTGAAATTTGGCATACAGCATTNGGGGGGAGGGAGGGGGGAGAGAGAGGGGAGAGCGATAGAGATTAGAGAGAGGGAGAAAGAGCGACATGCACCCAGCTTGACGCCGCTTATCATAGTAGCTAACACGTCGCCCGCCTTAGCGTTCTTAAGGTGTGCTAGAGAGAGAGAGAGCGACACACAACCCAGCTTGCTGCTGCCGGTCATAGTTGCTAACAGCTAACACGTCGCCCGCTCTGGCGTTTTTAAGGTGTGCTAGAGAGAGAGAGAGAGAGACACTGTGCTAGAGAGAGAGACACGTACCCAGCTTGACTCCTCCCGTCATGGTAGCTAACACGTTGCCCGCCTTCAGGTCGCGGTGTATGACGCGGCGCGAGTGCAGGAACTGAAGCCCGCGACACATCTCGCGGCACACGTACGCTATCTGCTGCTCGCTGAGGCCTTTTTCCAGTTCAGACATTACTGAGTCTAGGGCGCCGCCGTCGCAGTATTCTAGCAGCATCTGAGAGAGAGATAGATAATACTTTAATATAGCGTTATTTAATACAGAATAAAAGATAAACCACCGCAGCGTCTGAGAGGGAGAGGGAGAGGAAAAGAAAAATCATTATTGATATTGTTAATAACGTTAGTAAACTATTTATCGAAACGAAGAAATGTGCATGTCGTCTATAGTTCGTTTCATCCACGAGGACGCGCCCCACCAATTTTTAGTCGAGGTCGCGCGGGGTGCGGGCAGTTTGATCCGCAATCCGAGCGTCTTTATTGTAGTGTGCGTGTGCACTCATGGATAATTTAGCCGATAACACTCAAACATTAGCGGAAGAATGGTGGGGCGCGTCTTCGTGCATGAAACGATCTATACTTCGCTAACTAAACAAACAACCACGGTATTTATTTCTCAACAAAGCTTGGCATACCTTCCATCTTAACTAGACACTAAGAGGATGTCATCCATCACAACTAGCCACTCTCGCAGTGCCTCAACTAGATACTGGGATGATGTCATCCACCTCAACTAAACACTAACAGGATGTCATCTTCACTACACAACACCCCACTCACCCATAGCTTGTTGTCTATGAAGTACGCCTCGTGTAGCTCCACGACGTTGGGATGCCGGCACTCCGAGAGGATGTCGATCTCCACAGTGAAGTCGGCCAGGTCATCCTCGTTGTCCAACATGCATGTCATCCTCACTATACAACACCCCACTCACCCATAGCTTGTGTTGTCTATGAAGTACGCCTCATGTAGTTCCACGACGTTGGGATGCCGGCACTCCGAGAGGATGTCGATCTCCACAGTGAAGTCGGCCAGGTCATCCTCGTTGTCCAACACGCAGAGGATGTCATCCTCACTATACAACACCCCACTCACCCATAGCTTGTGTTGTCTATGAAGTACGCCTCATGTAGTTCCACGACGTTGGGATGCCGGCACTCCGAGAGGATGTCGATCTCCACAGTGAAGTCGGCCAGGTCATCCTCGTTGTCCAACACGCAGAGGATGTCATCCTCACTATACAACACCCCACTCACCCATAGCTTGTGTTGTCTATGAAGTACGCCTCATGTAGTTCCACGACGTTGGGATGCCGGCACTCCGAGAGGATGTCGATCTCCACAGTGAAGTCGGCCAGGTCATCCTCGTTGTCCAACACGCAGAGGATGTCATCCTCACTATACAACACCCCACTCACCCATAGCTTGTGTTGTCTATGAAGTACGCCTCATGTAGTTCCACGACGTTGGGATGCCGGCACTCCGAGAGGATGTCGATCTCCACAGTGAAGTCGGCCAGGTCATCCTCGTTGTCCAACACGCAGAGGATGTCATCCTCACTATACAACACCCCACTCACCCATAGCTTGTGTTGTCTATGAAGTACGCCTCATGTAGTTCCACGACGTTGGGATGCCGGCACTCCGAGAGGATGTCGATCTCCACAGTGAAGTCGGCCAGGTCATCCTCGTTGTCCAACACGCAGAGGATGTCATCCTCACTATACAACACCCCACTCACCCATAGCTTGTTGTCTATGAAGTACGCCTCGTGTAGTTCTACGACGTTGGGATGCCGGCACTCCGAGAGGATGTCGATCTCCACAGTGAAGTCGGCCAGGTCATCCTCGTTGTCCAACACGCACACCTTGGCCGCGGCCAGCTGGCCAGTTGTCTTGTGCTGGGCTTTGTACACCTGGAAAGTAGATAAAATAATAAATGATAAATATCTTGGGACTTACACAGCGCTAGTACCAAACTAAGCAAAATTCTAGTACTATGAGTAAAGGTTCGACCAAACTAACGCGTGCACGATGGCGATGGCGATCAATGCGATTTACATCTGATCGCCATCGCGCACGCAGGCTGCACGCGTCTAGTTAAGATGCCGTGAAACCTTAAAGGTTCGGCCAAACCAATGCGATCACACTCGATCAACCGGCATGCAGCGATGGCGACCAGATTTAAATGCATTGATCGCCATCGCTGCACGCCGGCTGATCTATTCTAATATTCTAGCCTTATTTGAGTTTGTGTAGCCAGGGTCTACAGCTTGACCCAACCAATGAAGGTCAAGTTTGTCTCGAGGGAAAGTTAAACTGTCATTGGACCCGCAACAAAAACTGAATTTACGTGTTTATTTCCAATAAAACTTTAAAACATTGTATTTACTTCAACAGGGTTCTCAACGAGTCTCGTCGCACGAAAGTGAGACATTCCTAGTTTTTATGTTTAATTCCAAATAACTTATAATGGCACGATCGATTAACATGCCATTTCGTCAGCATCATTGTGCCAGGTTATTAAGTGAAAATGTATTTGAATCATAATTAATTACCTATCTTAGAACAAGTATTATGAAACAACGTTAACTCGTATTACTGGGGCGAAAAAGCGCTTTTAAAAAGCCTAATTTTAATAAGAATATTTTTTAATTAAAATTTCCAGTTATCCCCACTGGTGGGGACAAATACGATCCGACCGAGCTAACTGCGCACCTTGCTGGAAGACTGCAGACCTCCTCGCGTACGTCCCGTCAGTACCAGAGCGTCTATGTAACGCCAGGTACGCAGTTAACTTGACCGGGTTGTACATTTTATTATTACAATAAATTCCCAGTTGCCTTTAGCAGATGCAACTACAATTTAGTGAATCAATACCCAGTTTACCCCACATTGAGGCCAAGATGTCAAATAAGCATGAGCGGAGGACACCGACACATGTCAGTAGACTAATTCCCAGTTGCCCCCAATGGGGGCCAGTGGGAAAATGTCAATATTTACCATTCCATCGCAGTTGTCGCGGGTGTAATTGAGCACCTTCCCAGTTGTCCCCAGTGAGGGATATTGCGAATGATTTTGGCTAACATATCCTCAATTTAACGTAAGAAGACTGGGAAATTTTTGTGATCAATCTTCCCAGGTGACTCCAGTGGGGGCCAGTGGGAAAAACATTATTTTCTTACCTTTCCAAAAGCGCCATCGCCGAGCTCCCCTATCATGTCCCAGTGTTCATTGGGGTCGCAGTTGTCGCGGATGTTGTTGAACACCTTCTTCTTTTTCGCGTCATTGCCGCCACCTAGGTGCAGCACCTGCAATCGATAGCAAAATAATATCGTCGTCATCATCATTATCATCATCTCAGCCATAAGACGTCTACTGCTGAACATAGGCCTCCCCCAATGCTTTCCATGTTACCCGGTTGGTAGCGGCCTGCGTCCAGCGCTTTTTTTCTGCTACCTTTATGATGTCGTCGGTCCACCTTGTGGACGTCCCACGCTGCGTTTTCCGGTACGCGGCCTCCACTCCAGAACCTTGCTGCCCCATCGGCCGTCAGTTCTGCGTACTATTTATTTGCCCATTGCCACTTCAGCTTGCTAATCCGTCGGGCTATGTCAGCGACTTTAGTTCGTTTACGGATTTCCTCATTTCTGATTCGATCTCGTAAAGAAACACCGAATAATATCGTCAGTCTTGTGGAATTGTCAAACTTAGTGGCAGTGGACAGGTTATGGTTCATAGAGCTGAGTGTGTTTGGGGCAGAAAAGTAATAGTGACTGAGTTTCTTGCGTTGCTTCTTCACTGGCACATTTATAGCCCCGAAGCAGTGGTAGGGTAACACTGTGACGTGTAAAAGTGCCTTCAGCCTATTTGCAAATAAAATGTGTCGGTGGTGTATCAAAAAGGACAATTTTTATTAGTATTAGGCCCTTTTCAGCGCGCTTACACACGTCCCAAATACAACTTGCCCTACCACCACTTCGGAACAACATATGGGCTGGTGCCGAAAACCAGTGATGGAAGAAACTCAGCATGTATTTCAATTTATGTATAAATAATCATCATTTTAGCCATAGGACGTCCACTGCTGAACACAGGCCTCAATGATTTCCATGTTGACCGGTTGGCAGCGGCCTGCGTCCAGCGCTGTCCTGGTACCTTTATGATGTCGTCGCGATATAGTATAGTAAGCTCACCTTCTTCAGATTGTTGAAGAACGACATGTTGTGTGTTGCGCGCCACCCGGCGCGCGGTGCTCAACCGTCTTTACTCATGGCTGCTGCCCGCTCGACTCTCTGCAACAAACGATATACAACTTTAGATGCTGTAAAAAACTAAAAACTCATAAAACTAATTTACTTTTGTAAGTTCGTTAGTTCGTTTCAGCCGAAAGACGTCCACTGCTGGACAAAGGCCTCCCCCAAGGATTTCCACGAAGACCGATCCTCTTGCATCCGGGCACCTCCCGCGACCTTCACCAGATCGTCGGCCCACCTAGTGGGGGGCTGCTCACGCTACGTCTTCCGGCTCGTGGTTGCCACTCAAGAACTTTCCTGCCCTAGCGGCCATCAGCTCTACGAGCTATGTGCCCAGCTCACTGCCATTTGATTTTAGCGATTCTGCGGGCTATGTCAGTCACTCTGGTTCTCCCACGAATCTCCTCATTTCTGAATCGATCACGCAGGGAAACTATACAGTTATAGAAAAGGGTGGTAAATTTTTACATAGCGATGAAAACAATGTAAGACTAGGATTCCAAAGAACTAGAATCATCCAAATCAGTTTAGTAATTTACATCTGTCCTCATAAACATTAGCGTTTAAGTATAATATTTAGTACCGAAGTATAGAAGTAGTTGATTGATTAATTATTAAACATTTATTAAAACTATCGAAAGTTGTTTACATTAAATTACGTAATTTTACGCTCGGTTTCATTAGGCCTAGCTTATTTTAATATTATTAATACGGATGAAATTAAACATGTTTTAAGTTAAAATTTTCAATATATTATCCGCTAGTGTTAAACAAGTAAAACATATCAACTAACATTACAAAGCTCGCGTTGTGACCACACCCAGTCCGTATATTTCCTTATTTGCTGTTGTGTCTTATGATAACAACAATAAGAGTTATTTTCGTTTGTAATCCACGCTATCTAGGCAAGGACGTCCGCAAGGTTGCTCAAAATGGCGGTATTTAACAAACTAATAAGGATGGGTATAAGAAAACAATTGGAGTGTTACAAACAAATGATAAGAGCTCCTAGTCTAGACAAAAAATATTTATTTTATAAAGTTTTAGTAACTAAATAGCGGCCGCCCGCAACTTCGTACGCATGGACCCCGCTTTACCCCCTTATGGGTTGAATTTTGCAAAATCTTAATGAGCACCTACATTCTAAAAGGAACCACCATGCAAAATTTGAGACTCCTAGCACTTGTAGTTTCTGAGATTACGGGATGAGTGAGACCTTTCGATAAGTATAGATTTTGTGCAACACAAAAAAGGGTCAAAGGATTTTTCCAGTGTTGCAGCACTGGATGCGTTCTACCGGCAGTGGTCAGGTCAAAGCATAAAGTTAATATTCCTTCGGAACCACTAAAACCACGAGCTGTCAAACGAAACCGATTTCGGATGACACTGGATATCATTTGTGTCACGTGTGTCAGCGTCAGGATTATTTCACTGTGTCCGTTTTGTACGATAAATCAATCACTGAACCAGTCATCACGTTTCTGAAGCGCTATTTCTCATAAACATCCACGATTTCACTCATGTAAAATCTGAAAGTATCTCAGAGTTCAGATTTGCAGCGTGCCACTGTTTGCCTCTGAACTGTCAAATAGTTGCATAAAAACGGTTCTGTTTGACGTGACGGCGACGGCATCACGCACCTCTTTTTATCACAGTGTTGCTGCTAGTGACATCTCGCTCGCATAAAATAATATAGATGTAGAGAACGACATAAGTGCCGCGCCGCGATAAGTGGTTATCACACCATTTTATAGATTTTGCCCATACATTTTGACGTCGATAAAGTATATCACGGCGCGCATCCTAGCCCGGCTGGATGCGGTGTCAAATCCTTATTGTAGTCCAAGAGAGATTGTAGTCCACGCAGGCTAAGCCGCGGGCAGAAAGCTAGTCACGAAATTTCTTTCATTCACACACGGTAAACAAGTGGTTATAAATATTTATTTTCGCTACGCGTAGGTGACGGATCATGATCATTCACAAAAATAGCTCTCTTAGAAGACTTGATCAGATGATCATTTGACGTAGATAATAGTCAACAGCGCATAGACTATTAATTTTCGTTTTAAAATAGCACATAATAATAATTTACAATTATATAATATCCGGAGTTTAGCTGTTTATGTGAGTCTTTCAGCGACTTGGCCTGGCCCATTTTTAGTTTGGTGCACGGGCCAAGTCGATTGATTGTATTTTTAAATATTTTTTCTGCCGGCAACTGGGCCCACTCGATTCTAAAGATTTTTATTGATTTGGTGTTCAATTTATTAATAAAACACTGAAGGTGGGCCCAGTTACCGGAAGATATTAAAAAATTCAAACCGGCGACTTGGCCCGTGGACCAAGTTAAAAGTAGGCCAAGTCGTTGGACGACTCGGGTTGTGCTCCGGCAATGGAGACTTAATGACCATGATGATGATTGTTATATTGAAAAGTATGAGTGTACATTTACAATTTAACTAACTTTTATTGACTTAAACAGAATTCATTCAGTTGTCCAGCAAAGCATTTTATCAGTGACACTTCCGCTTACAGCCTGATAGGGACAAAAATAATTGATGACTACTTTGAAATGTTTGGCCAATGTTGGGGAAAATAATGGTATCATTTCTCTGAGAGATATTATGTCACTTAATTGAGAATCTCCTTCACAAAAACTCATAAAACTCATTTATTTTTGCAAATAGGCATTTAAAAAGCACTTTTACACGTCCCAGTGTGTCCCAGTATTAACCCTACCACTGCTTCGGGACAATAAATGGGCCAGTGCTGAGAAGAAGCAGCGCAAGAAACTAAGTAACTGCTTTTTTGAAGTCGGTTAAAAAGTACAGTCAATAGCGCAGGCTATTAATGTTTGTTGCAAGATGGCTCTAATGAACATGACATACGCCCGTATTCACAAACGATACTTGCTTAAGTGACGCAGCAAATCGAATACATAGTGTTGAATAGAGCTCTGTGATTGGTTCGTGTCACCCTGTGAGACCTCATAGTAATGTTTGTGAATACGGGCGATAAAATATATCACAGTATTTAGCTTTATAGAAATGTCATTTGTGACTAATAAGGAGCTTAATTTTTCATTATGAACCTCTTATGTACGGGTCTGACTCACACTTGCCCGGTTTTTTGTAACTATTTTTAATAACTGATCAAGAATTTTATTAAACTGCGTGTGTAATGAGATGATGCAAGATCTTTTAATCGTAGACATAATGCGGTGACGTCATAAGGACAAGTGCAATCGTAGGGAAACATGCAAAACGCGGACTTCTCATCCCCGCGTTAGTCATGATGACATCACCGTTTGTTGGTGACGTGTGGTCTAAGTCATAAAACAGTCAAATGCGAGTTGAAATATACTCAACATCAAATAAACCGCACCTTCCGCGACGCGAACTTTAACGATTTTCTTCTGACACAATCATGGTGCCCCAACAATATTGGTGTTATTTGAAAGCCCAATAAATATCCTTAAAGAAAAACCCATTTAATTTCTTAATAAATGATTAACATATACCATAAATCTGACTTGAAAAAATACCTCACTTTGGGCCCACCTATGGGATCAATTAGACCAATTTTTATGGTTATAAAACCAAATAATGATTTCACGTGTCCTCTTTAACAAATGGATAGCGATTAATCCCAACTTAACAGTTTTATAGCCATAAAAGTTGGCTCTAGCATAACTACCTTTTTTTGAAGAAGTGACTCTGGATCCTTCTAAAGACACATTTTTGGGGTAAAAATCTTTCCTTTAATGAAATTAAGGTTAGAACTAGGCTTTTAAATGGTGCCAATATTGGTGGGAAGTGGGGATGCATACGTTTGAAAATGCTTGTCGCGGGAGGTGCGATTTATTTGATGTCGAGTGTATATTTTCCTCAGCATTTGCTCGCAGATTTGACAGAATTTTGGTCTGAGACAGAAAGACATAATGTCATTCAGAAAATCAGCTGTTGTTCATTCAACAGCTGAGTTCCAGAGACCAATTCATATTGTTTTGTGATGTTTTCACACATGTTAATGTTAATCAATATCTTTATCTTTTTTTATCTCTACCTCTACATCTTTGTCTCCATTCGGAAATCTGTTTACTCCACACTACAAAGTCGGTTTTCCAACAGATATGGCCTGCCCACTGCTACATTTTATTTTAACTCTTCATTGTGGTCTTCTGTCGAATAACCTCGTTCCGGATTTTATAGCATAACAAGATCCCAAGCTGCTAATGTAATAATACTTTCACCGCCCCACACTAAATGCGTAAACGAACATTTTTAACGCACTCGCTCATCGCTTATACCGCAAGAGACAATATCCAATTGAGCCAGCAACGAGGGGCTTGACTTCTAATTGATCCGAGACTCAGATTAATTTGTGAAACTTCGACGTCTTTATTTCGACGCAATAAGAACTAGTTTGGAAGAGCTAGGGGTGGTTAGATAGGATTAGTTGTAGACTTGCAGTGACCCTTTGACCTGGCTGTGTGACTGTTTGACAGCCGCGTGGATTGGTGGTAGCGAACTACTATGCCAGAGGTCGCGGTTTCTATCCACACAAAAAAACAAACATTTGTATGACTTATTTTTATCTGTATTGTTAGTAATTTGGAAATATGAAATGGATTAAGTAACTGACATCACTAGTCGGTTGACGTTGTTTTCAAGAGCTGTCAAAACGATTCCTCCCCTGGTTATTATTATTCTGTCTAATGGCTTCAATGCAATGGTGCGAATTTGAAGCACACTGGTTTTGCCAATGTCGAGTGTTTAGAGAGACACGGTGGACAGTGGTTTTTGTATGGCAAACACATACTATGACGGCAATTTTTCCCCAACTCAAAAAAACTTAATTTACAATGTGATATAATTTGATTTTCAGGGCTACAATTTTGAGTTCATTTAAAGAAGCTGTATCTCGGAATTATTGAACAATGGTGTTAGCCACCCAATTCAAAATCCCATCAATTTACCTATCTTTACTATGGACCTACGTCGACGACTCGTTTCTATTCACAGATGCACAACTTATTC